GGTTCAGAGAAGCCTCAAGAAGCGCCCTCGTTCACGAAAACTCTCGTCGAAGTATCTGTCGTTGAAGGAGAAACAGCCACCTACGAATGCCAAGTCTCAGGATACCCACAACCTGAAATCAAGTGGTTCAAGGTTAGTGCTGTTCTTGTCAGGAGGATACCATACTTGTTGGTGGACAGGTTTCTGTCCCCACCGTATCAACTAGCCGCTCGCCGCACGTGCTTCCTCGCGAGTGGATGTGCTATATTTTCGTTAAAAGGCTCTTAGATTCTTGTCTCTGCTAATCGCACCTCTATTCTTTACAACTAACAGTGGTAAGGCACATTCTGCCCGCGCTTATCGCGGGGCGGAGAAAGAGAATCACTCTGCTGCTGCATCCTCCTATTTACACTTTGAGGTAGTGAGCACGATTGCTGGGGGCGGCCGGTTGTTGTCAGCGTCATTGGCGAAAGGGCTGCGGAAGGGCGTTTGGCGACACCTCACGCAGCCCTTCCACCAGTGACACTGGCGACAACCGCCTGGCCCTACGATCGTGCCCACTGTCGCCAAAAAGAAGGGGCACACCAGTGGGGAAAGAACAGCAGTTCTCTGTCTCCGCCCATGCAGCTATCGCGGAATGTGCTTTCGAACGGAACTGGTTCGCTAGGATCAAGCCGAAGGTTGTACGATAACCAGCTTCATGGTTTCAGAACAAGGAAGAGATCGCAGCCACGGATGAGCATTTCGTACAAACGAAGGAAGCCGACGGTACCGCCCGTCTTACCATCAAATCCACTAAGGTACGGTAGCTTGATTTCTGCTTTCGAGTTCGTGGCGTTATCTACGATATTTCTACGTTCAGGTGAAAGATTCGGGTGAAATCCGTTGCGAAGCCCGTAACACTGCAGGAACAGCTCGCACAGACGCGCCATTGACGGTTTCCCTACCGGAGGAGGAGGTACGTCACCTTGTTAGATGGGCTTCTGAAGAAGTCGCAGTAGCACGAGACCATATGTTCACGAAAACAGGCGGAATACAGTATTCCGAAAATTGCTCGTGAAATTTAAGCTGCTCCGTGAATGCACACAACTGGGCATGGCGTAAGCCGGTTTATGTACCCAAATTCGTGGTAC